TGTGACTGCCTCTAGCTTTGCTCATAATTTGAACCTTAAACTATTGCTTCTTGAACTTGTGCTCAGAATGTGTGGTGACATTGTGATCCACCCTGAGCTTGTACTGCTTTGTTTGCTCTGCTGATTACACCCCACTTTGGCTATGGGGGTGTGTCAGAATATTATGCTCTAGCCTGTAGTGGGGTGCTCTATAGCGAGTACAACCCTTCTAGGGTTTGCTATTTGTACCCCCATTCTTGCTAGTTCACCCTCTCTCTTTTGCCTATTTCTCTTGACAGAGGCACCGTCGACAGCGACGCCATCGTCAACTTCACTTCTTGGACACACCCGCCAGATCTCGACCCCGACTTCAGTCCTGGAGGCTTCTGGTATTCGCATACTATACCTGAAGCAGAGCGAACAAGAGCATTAGCAACGATCCAACAACCGGCAGCAGCAGAAACAACACCGACAGTAGCAGAGACAACACCGACAGTAGCATAGACAACACCGGCAGTAGCAGAAACAACACAGACACCAACCGCTGGCCCTTCAACAGCACCAGCCTTCATCGATGACACGTCACCAACTCCTGCGCAATAGCTAACTCTCACTACACGAGAAGTCCACAGAAGCGCCAACTTCACCGCCGTTTTTTTTTCCAACTCCAACCTGTACAAGCGTTCACCCGAACATCGCGCTAGCGAAGACATCTGGCATGCAAAGATCGGACACCCGAGCAACACAACGTTAAACAATACGATACAGAGCTGGAGTGCTTGACAAAGAATCACTACTTCTACATGACGGTACAGAACTTCAACGAGTCCATGGAACGTGTTTTACCTGCCCTGAAGTCGACTTACCGCATCAGCCGTTCGTCTCTCACCACAACCCGAGCGCTCCAGCATACGCACCACTGGAAAAGGTGTATAGCGACATACTGTACAATCGCGAACCCGGACAAGGAGCGTATAACTACGTCATCACGTTCATCGACGCCGCAACACAATACGTCTGGCACCTCAACCTCCCAATCAGGGACATGGCCTTTGAAGCTTTCATCGCCTGGCTTCCAGCAGCAGAACGAGAATCAGGAGCGAAACTGAAAAGCTTCCATTCAGACGGGGGAGGGGAATATCAGTCACAAAGATTCAAGCAATACCTGGCAGAACGAAGCATCAAGCGGCTCATCTCCCTTCCCTACGCCCACCAACAGCAAGGCGTAGCAGAAAGAATGAACAGGACCCTCCAGAACACCATGCGCAAGCTGCTACTGCTTGGCATGCAGCTACCCAACCACCAGTGGCTCGAAGCAATGGACCATGCTGTGATGCTGCACAACTTGCTCTCGTCATCATCGCTCCCGAACAACGCATCACCGCATCTGCTGTGGACAGGAAAACTGGGCAGCACAAAAATGTTGCGAGTGTTCGGCTGCATGGTACAGTACCGACCCCCAACTGCACGAGCCGGCCGATTCTCTCAACGCGCACAGTGGGGAGTACACCTGGGCATCGAAAAACACTACAACGCATGGAAGATTTTTTACGTCCACTCGAAGGAAACAGTAGCAGCACGTGATGTGATTTTCTACGAACGACTCACCCTCCCATCGTACCTTGCCAACCTGGAAGAAGAACGAGACCCCACAGGAGGATTCCATGGTGACCGAGCCTTCGCTTCGACAGCAGGCGAAGCTGACTGGGATGAGCAGAACGTGGATGGAGCATCGGAGGAAGCCGGACTTCTACCTTACTGCTCAGTGGACATCCCGATGGACGACGACAACCCTCGCGAAAGCATCAACGCCGAAGTCTACTATGATCTCGCCGACAACGGTTACGTTACACCTCCAAGGGTCAACACCGACGAAGCAGATAGCGTAGGACCCAATTTCACACCTGACCCAGAAGCGGGAGACGAAGCTGTCTATACCGAGGACGCAAATCTTCCCCGCTACACACAGAGCGGGCTGCAGATACTTGGACTTGTCACCGCGGTCCACGGAGCAGCGCCACCTAAGGAGCCTGCCACAGTTCAGCAGGCTCAAAGGGGGGAGCACAGGAAAAAATGGCGCGAAGCCATGGACAGAGAATTAAAAGCGCTGGAAGAACGCAACACCTGGAGTGGCACGCAACAAGACAATACTCACCGAGAAGTGGGTTTTTCGCCTGAAAACAAAGGCAGATGGAACCATCGACAAATTTAAGGCGCGCTGGGTCGTACGCGGCTTCGACCAGGAGCACGGACGTGACTTCACCGAAACATTCGCGCCAGTCGGCCGACACACCTCACTGCGGATTCTCCTCGCGATAGCTGCCATGAAGCGGAAAAGGCTCCGTCAAATCGACGTCGCCAACGCTTTTCTCTACGCCCCTGTCGACGCTGAAATTTTCGTCGAGCAACCGCATGGCTCCAACGCAGACCCTAATCAAGTCTGTCAGCTGTTGAAGTCCCTGTACAGCATCAAGCAAGCTCCAAGGCTGTGGCAGCAGTACCTACACGCCCAACTAATTCGCATCGGATTCCGCCAACTACTGCACGACCAAGGCATGTACCGACTCACGAAAGGCATCGACTACATCCTGCTCATCGTCTACGTGGACGATCTACTCTACATCTGCTCGACCGACAAAATTACGACTTGGTTCGAAGGGGAGCTACAGTGGGATCTCACGCTCACCGTTTCGTCTACCGTCACACAGTATCTGGGACTCAATATACAAGAAGAAGAGAATGCCATCCATCTCAGCGCCGCGAAATACGCCGACACCATCGCCAAACGCTTCGGACTAACTCCAGCCCCCATCACCACGCCCTATCGCTACACCGACGGAAATCGCAAGGAAACCTCCGCTCTACTCAAACCCGCCAGCGTACGCGACTATCAACGAAAGCTGGGATGTTTACTTTTCGCAGCCGTCACCTGCCGACCTGACCTATCGTACTCAGCGAGCCCACTCGCCACTTACCTCAAGAAACCTGAAGCAAATCACATGACCGAGCTCGACCGCGCACTTCACTACCTCGTCAGCACCCCGACAATCGGCCTAACCTATCACAAAAACGGAACTATAACGCCCAAGCTAATCGGCTACGTGGATGCTGACCACGCCGGCGACTCCGACAACAGGCGCTCACGCACCGGCTACATCTACCGACTCGAGCCTATCGGACCTATCTCGTGGCAGTCGAGCAAACAGGAACTAATCGCCCTCTCATCAGCCGAAGCTGAATATATTGCACTCTGCTCAGCCACCAAGGAAGGACTGTACCTTCGCGAACTACTGGAAGAAGCGAAGCTGGCTCAGTTACCCAGCTTCTCCCTGTTCTGCGACAACCAATCAACAATTCGCATAGCGAACAAGAATGAATTCGCGAACCGAACGAAGCATATCGCCCTGCGATATTTCTTCGTAAAAGACGAGATCGAGAAGGGGAGACTCGAGCTATCCTACTGCCCCACGTCCGAGATGGCAGCCGACTATTTGACCAAGAAGCTTGGAAAGCAGAAGTTCGAGTACTGCATGCTGCTGACTAGATAAGGCCACGTCACCAGGAACGACACTCCAGAAGCGAAGGGGAGTGTTGGAAACAAGTAATCTAATGCTTCTTGTGTGTTGTAACATCAGGCTGTAAACGAGTCGAACCACAGCGCAGCAATGGCGAGTCAACCGAGGAGGTTGACAAAAAAGTAACAACCGGAGGTTACGCGAAGGTCAAAGGTCAGCGACCTTTGACTCGACAAATACAGCGCGACAGCAAGGACAAACATTAGACTCGATATTGAGCAGTTGCCCGAGTCGTCACTGTATCAAACCGCAACAGCAACAGTAAAACGGTTATTGCATCCTTTCATATTCCTTGTAATCTTATAAAAAGCTTGTATTACCTTGTTTAATCAATCTTTCTTGCCCTCACATACTAGCGCAAGGTGGTTCAAACTCTGTTACCTTAAACGCTTCCGCAATACAACATCCTTATCAAGAGTCTTAGCCTTGAAAGATCCAAAGGGGCTTTCTCAACCCAACATTATTTGCTTAGTTTATGTTACGATTTTTTTTCTGGCAAAGTATTGACGTACGATGGCTAAATAATGTCCATCTACCACTGATCAAAGTATTTCATTTCACTATTGTTATGCTATTTTTTTCATCGGTGAGTTACTAGTGAAATAATCTTCATATACTCATAGACATGAGGGACCTTGTAAGCTATTTTCTTACACTCTACACAACCCTTCTGACGTTCAAATGTCTAGTCTTGTTTTTTGCACTCTCTTATAGCTTGTAACAGGATGCGCGGTATTGAAAATCGAACGACGTCAGCGTGGTTACCAGGCGCACCAGCTCTGCGCGACGCGCTCTCCACCTTGGCCAGGCGACATGCGCCTCGGCGACAATTATTGGAATGGGTTCGATGGATCAAATGCCCTACATCAGCAAATGCCCTCCCCTAGTTCACCCACCTTTCCCCTGCAACGTCTAAGGCCAAAACGTCGAGCTACAGCAGTCTTCTATATCCTCCCCAGCACCTACCCACAACGTTCCCCGAGGCGCATGTACACAGTGATAGCACGAGGCGACCTACCCGCCAACCAGGTATAAAAACCCGCTCGCCATTTCCATTATCGCAGCGTACCCTACCAGCACCAGCGTGCTCGCATATCCACGCGCCACTTCTCACGCCAGAATTGTGGATTTTCTAAGTCAAGAAAAATTAGGAACATCGTACTACTCAAAATCAACGTCTCGCACGATCTCCCTGCTTAGCTCGCATTAGGCTAAATCTGCTTGCCGCGAATCACGGTCAACGGCACGATGTCTACCGCCCATCGCCTCCTCCTCGCCCTGTTGCTCCTCGCTGCCACGTGTCAATGCCTCTCTGTCCGACGTAAGTGCGAGATGCATCAGCTTGACGCATAGGTGAGCGTACTGAACCGCGATGTGCACATGAATCACGGAAGAGTATCATACGGTATTACCTTGTTCGCTCCGTGTTCCTTTCCCCGCCCACAGATGTCGAGCCTAGAACTGTGCCAAGCGGCAGTGGTGGCAGCGGTGGTGGCGGCGCCAGTGGCGGCGGCGCTCGCGGCGGACTCTATATCGTGCGCCTTCGCTCTGCGCTCCCCCTCGCCGCGTATCGCGGAGCCGTCGCCAGCTTCTCCGGCTGGGCGGACGACAACGATGACGACGAGAGTAACGACAGCGCTGCCCGCCCGGCGGGTCTGATGGCGACGGCGGAGGCGGTGGATGAAGAGGTGACGGCGACGGGTGGCAGAGTCCCGCGCCGCGCGCGGCTCAGCAAGAGCAACCCGCAGGTTAAGGCGTATGCGCAGATGCTCGAGTCGCAGCAGACGCAGATCGCGTCGGAAGTGGGCGTGGCGTCGGACAAAATGGCTTACAGGTGAGCAACATATCACGCGATAGCCCGTGATATATGCGACTGAGACTCGGATTCAACCTTTTACTGAATCGTGGCGACGGAAAAGATGGCGTACAGGTGAGTAGTAACAAACGCGTTGGAAACAGCCAGTTATACGCGAGCACGATCCTTGTTGCAACTTCTGATTTGCTTCTGAAAGGCGCCGTTGCTAACCGCCGCCGCTCCCACTGCCACATAACGCGCCTTTCTCCCTCTCTCGTCAACTAGCTCTTCGTCCACACATCCGCCTCCTCCACCCCATCCCCCCCTTCCCCACTCTTCTCCCCACATTCCGTCTTCCTCGCGCAGCTAAAGTACTCCTCCAAACGGCTTCGCAACGAGAAGTGGTCGACACCACCGAGTTGAACGAGTCGTTCCGAACAACGTGCACCCTATCCCTATCCCCACCTCTGCCCCTGTTCCCCCGCGCTCCCTTGCGCCCCATACTATTCCCCCGCGCAGCTACAAGTATTCGTCCAACGGTTTCTCGGCGGAGCTCACGGCGGAGCAGCTGCGGCGGCTGAAGCGCCACCCCGCCGTGGCGTCCGTGCGGCCGAGCGCGCGCAAGCGCCTCTTCACCACCGAGTCGCCCACCTTCCTCGGCATGAACAGCGCCGGTTCGCTCTGGCCCGCGAATGGCGGGCAGGCAAAAGCGGGAGACGGCACGGTGATCGCAATCATCGACACGGGCATCTGGCCCGAGCACCCGTCGTTTAGCGACGCGGGATTCTCCTCGTCGCGGCCCGCCGGGTGGTCGGGGAAATGCGACACGACGGAGGACTTCAAGTGCAACAACAAGCTCATCGGAGCGCGCGCGTTCTATAAGGCGTATGAAAGCGCCAACGGGCTGGATCTATCCGGGGATTGGCTGTCTCCGCGCGACGCCGACGGCCACGGCACGTGGTGTGCGGGGTGAGACGGCTCGCTAGTAGCATTCACTGACTGCGTGTCACAAGTGTCCGCCCTTCCTTGTGTTCCACACCCTTCCTTGTGCTCCACACCCTTCCTTGTGCTCCACACCCTTCCTTGTGCTCCACACCCTTCCTTGTGCTCCACACCCTTCCTTGTGCTCCACACCCTTCCTTGTGCTCCACACCCTTCCTTGTGCTCCGAGTCTCCCTTTCTCTTCGCAACCGTTAACCACGTGTATCCACCCCTCATGCATCCCCAATGCACGCATCCCCCTCCCATGCGTTCCCCCTCCACGCCACCCCGCCCTCCACGCATCCCCCCCCTCCCTGCCCTTCGCAGGGCGGCAGCGGGCAACCAGGGCGTGCCCATGGCGGGCGGCAAGGCGAGCGGCATGGCGCCAGCAGCGCGCCTCGTGGCTTACAAGGTCTTTTGGTCGAACGGCGAGGACATTTGGGCGGAGGAGGCGGACATCATGGCAGCTGTTAATCAGGGCGTGGCGGACGGTGTGGATGTGATCTCGCTCTCCCTGGGCTTTGTGAACCCCGAAGACACCTACTTTGACGACATCGCCTTCCTCAACGCCAACCTGGTGTGCCTCTCCTGCACCACTCGCTCTTAACTGCACCACTCGCTCTTAATTGCACCACTCGCTCTTAACTGCACCACTCGCTCTTAACTGCACCACTCGCTCTTACCTGCACCACTCGCTCTTACCTGCACCACTCGCTCTTAACTGCACCACTCGCTCTTAACTGCACCACTCGCTCTTACCTGCACCACTCGCTCTTTACTGCACCACTCGCTCTTACCTGCACCACTCGCTCTTTACTGCACCACTCGCTCTTAACTGCACCACTCGCTCTTACCTGCACCACTCGCTCTTAACTGCACCACTCGCTCTTACCTGCACCACTCGCTCTTACCTGCACCACTCGCTCTTACCTGCACCACTCGCTCTTACCTGCACCACTCGCTCTTACCTGCACCACTCGCTCTTACCTGCACCACTCGCTCTTACCTGCACCACTCGCTCTTACCTGCACCACTCGCTCTTACCCGCACCACTCTTCTAAGAAGTCGCTCTCTCGCTTCCTCCTTGCTTCCTCTTTTCTCTCCTCTCTCCTCGGCTCTCCTGCACTCTCCTCGCATGCCCTGCACTCTCCTCGCATGCCCTACTCCGACTCCATCGCATTCCTCAACGCCAACTCTGCTTCACATGACACTCGCCGTGCTATTCTCTTGCCTGATTGCCCGATTTCTTAAATCGCTCAGCATACCAGCATCACATTGCTCTGCTCATCCTCCTATCCTCTCCTTCTCTCCTCTCCTCTCCTCTCCTCTCCTCCCCTCTTCCCCCTGGCCCAGGCGGGGGTGGTCGTGACCTTTGCTGCGGGCAACGACGGCCCTCCACAGGGTTACCGCACGCTTGACAACTATGCACCCTTTTACCTCACAGTGGGGGCCAGGTGAGTTTTGCCACTAAATGGAACCCAGGTGAGTCTTCTGTCGCGTAGTGGAACCCAGGTGGACTCACAGAGCCATCTGCCTCGCTCCCTGTACCTCCGCCATCGCACATTCCTCTCGTTGTTTTAAGATGCAAGTCTGAGAGCACAGAGGTCGGGGCGCTTGCATTGCTTTCTTACCAACCTTCCCCCAATATCCCCCCAACCTCCCCGCTTCTCCCTGCCCCACCCTCACACTCCTCCCCCTCCCCCCAGCTCCATTGCCCGAGGCGGCCTCACTCTCGCCAGCTCAGTAGGTGCATCCAGGTCAGCAGCATCCACCAATCTGACGTCAGCCTCCGCCACGTCATCTGCCACGTCCTCCGCCAAGCCCTCAGCCGGCGATTCCGCCCCCAACGTGGCCGAATTCTCCTCCGCCGGCCCCCTCGTCTTCCCAGACGTCGGCACCGGCAACGGCCTGGCCACCGACTCGATCTTAAAACCCGACATTGTCGGCCCGGGCGTGGATCTCTACGCTGCAGCCCCGGGCAGCAGCGTGGGTGACAAGGGCGGGTCCGCGCAGATGTCCGGAACGTCCATGGCGACGCCGCACCTGGCGGGGATCGCTGCGCTGGTGATGCAGAAGTACCCTTCTTGGAGCCCTGCGCAGGTCATGTCTGCCATCATGACCACCGCCACCACCAAGGATGTTAATGGTGCTGCCATCTCTACCGCCTATGGGAAAGCTGCTACTCCGTGGGATATGGGCGCGGGGCATGTGTTCCCTCCCAAGGTTCTGGACCCCGGGCTGACGTATGACGCTCGGAAGAGCACGTATTTGAATTTCCTGGCTGGGCTGGACATGCAGAGGACCCAGTCAGAGTACCCGAATGAAAAGCTCACCTCTGTGCCGCCCAGAGAGCTCAACCGGCCGACCATCGCACTTGCCAGTCTCAAAGGCAAGACAACAGTCACACGCACCGTCACCTGTGTGGCTGACTCCGCCTCCACTTACTCTGCCAAGATCCAGAAGCCTAAGGGGGTGGAGGTGACTGTGAAGCCCAGCAGCTTCACCATCTCGCCTGGTCAGAAGGTCAGCTACGTGGTGACCTTCAAGGTGACTAAGGCCTCGAAGAATTTTCAATATGGGAGCCTCACTTGGGTGGATGAGAAGGGTCACTCTGTGCGGTCGGCCATTGCCGTCAAGCCTGTCAGAAAGTGAGTGAGAAGCAGCATAGTTGAGGTGAATAATTATGGGAATAATGATGGACCAACAAGTTATTGGTGGCCCATTGTGGCATATAAGCTTGCTAAATAATATTAAGGGTGTGCACTGGATGTCTAAAAAATTGTCTTGTATGTTAGCGGAAGTTAATTAAATAAATATTACACAATGTTCTCTCTCTCTCTCTCTCTCTCTCTCTCTCTCTCTCTCTCTCTCTCTCTCTCTCTCTCTCTCTCTCTCTCTCTCTCTCTCTCTCTCTCTCTCTCTCTCTCTCTCTCTCTCTCTCTCAATCACTCTCACCCTCACTCACATCACACACACACCAATGCATCAAGAGCAAAGACATTCAGCTAGCACCATTTGAATGGCTGGTATTGAGGGGGCGCTCCTAGTTTTTGTACAGTGAATGTGCAGCTTGTTTGGCTCATTTTCCCGACCAACACACTGCACCATTCCTCACACGTGACCAGAACCACACTATCGGAGAAGAATTGTCTCCTCATCAATGTTCATACACAGTGAAAGGAAATTTCCTTTTCCTTAGTACGCGCCCCTGCTTACCGCGTACATGACAATTCCTGCCAACAGTGTCAAACTGTAATGGTGCTTGTTGTGTGTAGGCTGTAGTGGGGTAGCCCAAGGGGTACAACCCAAATTAGGGTTAGTACTTGTACCCACATTTCTGTTCAATGCATCATTCCTGCTGCTAGTTTCTAACATGGTTTCAGAGCAGGTCCCGCTCCAGAACCGTTCTCGTTAGGGCCCACCGATCGTTTTGCCTGGAGCGCTGCCCCACCCGTCGCGCTGCCTTGCCCTGCCTTGCGTGCGTCGTGCTGCCCACGCTCACCCTGCTGCTGCGTCTCGCCCCACCCCGCACGCCTCTGCCCCGCGTTGGGCTGCCCGCGCGCGCCCTGCCCTGCATCGCGCTGCCCCGCGCACGCGCTGCTCTGCCCATCGCGCGGCCCGCGCACGCCCTGCCCTGCGTCGCGCCGCCCGCGTCTGCTTGCTGTGCCCGTCGCGCGGCCCGCGCACGCCCTGCCTGCGTCCCTCGTCCCGCGTACGCCCTGCCCGGTCCGTCGCGCAGCTCCCGCACGCCCCGCCCTACGCCGCGCTGCCCGCACCTGCCGTCTCCTGCGTCGCGCCGCCCCGCGCACGCCCTGCCCTGCCCGCGCGCCGCCATTCTGATCGCGCGCGACCTGCTTTTTCTGCCTGCCGCTGCCCTGTCAGCCGCGCGCTGCCCTTGCCTGCCCCCGCGCTGCCTTGTGCAGACCCACGCGCCGCCTTTGCCTGCCGCGTGCCGCCCCTGCCTGCCGCGCGCCGCTCCTGCTTGCCTGCGCGCCGCCTTTGCCTGCCCGCGCGCTGCCCTCTGCAGCCCGCGCACTTCTGTCTCTGCCCGTGTGCCGCACTGCCCTGCCCGCGCACTGCCCTGCCCTGCCCTACGTGCCACACTGCTCTGTTAAGCTATGGCGTCTCTCAAGGTTCTCGAGTTCGATCCTGAGGGCCGTCCTATCCAGTTCGAGACGTGGCTTCATGACCTATAGCTGTACCTACTGAGCGATTCTAAAGAAAATGTTTTGCTGTTTGACTACACGTTCGGAGCCTCTCTTGCCCCCCCCCGACACAGCTAATAGTGCGACTCGCTCACAGTGGCTCACCCGTGACGCTGCCGCTCGCCTAGCCATTCGCAACCACCTGCCGTTAGCCGAACATGCTCACTTTGGCCAGCCTAAGACCGCTAAAGCCCTGTATGACGCTGTAGTCGCTCACTACTCTTCCCCTGCCACTGCAGCTCTCGGCTGCCTTTACTGCCCTACCTGTTTCCCGAGCTGTCCTCCTTTGCCACAGTAGCGGACCTCATTACCTACCTTTGCACTAGCGACGCTCGCTACCGCGCTGCCCTCCCAGCCGAGTTCGTCCCCAAGAACGAGCCCCCGATTTACATCACTCTCTACTTTATAGTCACTCGCCTCCCTGGCTCTCTTCGCGTAGCCAAGGACCACTTTCTCGCCCTTGACCCCACCGAGCCCACTATCGACGTGCTCGAGAAGCACCTCCTTGCAGCTGAGACTAGTGCAGTCGCTGTAGGTGCTACTCGTGGCACTCCTCGCACGCCCTTCTTTGAGGGGTGCTCCCCCTCCCCCCTTGCCCCCTCTGTTGCTTCTGCTGCTGCTGTCGACTTCCTTCTGCTGTGCTGAGGAGGTCGGTGCTGCTTCTGCTCTTAGTGTGAAGCGCCGCAGCGGCAAGGGCAAGGGAGGCAAGAGTGGTGGGGGTGGCGGAGGGGGGGGGGGGGGGGGGGTGGTGGAGGCGGTGGTGGCGATGGAGGTGACGGCGGTGGCGGTGGGAGTAGTGGCGGGAGTGGGGGAGTCGGTGGCAGCAGTGGCGGCAGCGGTGGGGGTGGCGGTGGTGGTGGTCGTGGCGGCAGTGGAGGTGGTGGCGGTGGTGGTGGCGGCAGTGATGGTGGTTGGGCTGGAGTAGTTCAGCGGCAGCATCAACAGCGTCCGCGTGAGACCTTCACGCCCCAGCAGCTTCGTGAGTGGTTTGCTCAGCGTGGGGCGTCTGGGGGTAGTGCTCGCTGCCCGTACGTCATTCGCACAGGTGACCACGCTGGTCAGACGTGCGGGAAGTTTCATCGCTGCTTCTCCCGCCTAGACGACGCTTGGCGCACTGAGTTTGGCGATGAGGCTGAGATGCCCCTCTGGGCAGAGCTGCTTAGGTCTGGTGTTGATATCTTTGCTCTTGACTATGACGCTATCCTTGCTGGCATGTATGCTTTGACTGTTAGTGCTGAGGGTGACTGTTACTTGTGTGTGCCGCCTGACCCAGGTATAGAGGCTGCTGCTCTAGGTGCTAGTGAGTTTGCTCTCTCTGGTACTGCGCCTGCTGAGGCCTTGCACACCTTCACGCTTGACTCATTTGCTTTTCGCTGTTTCTTTCATGACAATACCAAAGTCACACCACTCACTAGGCCCGTTGCAGTTTCCCTGGATGACCCCTCTGGGGGCCCGGTTCTTGCACGTTCCTCCACTGTTCTCCCATGTCCGGCGGTTCCGCCCGGCTCGCTGTCAGGTCTCTACCTCCCCTCGTTCTTGACGAAACTGGTGAGTAACGCAGTCCTTCAGGATGCATGGGTTGATACCTTTACCCCTGGAGGCCAGCGTGTGGCGATCTGTACGTGCTCCCGGACTGGCCGTCACCTGGCCACGTTCACCCGTCGGCCTGGGTCGAGTCTATATACACTGACTATTGCGCCTCCTCAGGTTGGTGCGTCTGCTCAGGTGTCCGCGTCAGGTCAGGTAGCAGCCCCCTGTGAGTGTCGCCGCCTGTCGCACCAGACTCTCCTGTGGCACCACCGCCTTGGTCACCCCTCCCTGCCACGCCTTCGTGGCATGCACTCCCGCCTCCTTGTCTCTGGTCTTCCCAGGTCTCTGCCTTCCCTCCCACCATTGCCGGCCCCGCCCTGCGTTCCCTGCGTCGAGGGGCGGCAGCGCGCCGCTCCTCACTCCTCCTCGTTTCCCCCGACGACAGCTCCCCTGCAGACTCTCCACTTGGACGTGTGGGGCCCAGCCCGCGTCACTGGACTGGGCCGCGAGCGGTACTTTCTGCTGGTTGTTGACGACTACTCGCGTTACACCACGGTCTTCCCCTTGCGCAGCAAGGGTGAGGTCCCTGCTGTCTTGATCCCCTGGATCCGCGCTGTTCGTCTCCAGCTCCGCGAGCTTTTCCGCACGGACCTTCTAGTCCTGCGTGTGCACTCTGACAGAGGTGGTGAGTTCTCCTCAGACCTCTTGCGGGACTTTTGTCAGGGGGAGGGCATCCTCCAATCGTTCACGCTTCCGGCCTCTCCACATCATAATGGGATTGCAGAGTGCCGCACTGGTTTAGTCATGGAGGTGTCTCGTACCTCCATGATCCACGCGGCTGCTCCCCATTTTCTGTGGCCGTTTGTGGTCTGGTGCGCTGCGCATCAGCTCAACCTCTGGCCCCATGTCTCCTTGCCGGAGACCTCGCCCACACTGCGTTGGACGGGGGAGGTTGGCGATGCGTCGCGGTTCCGGGTCTGGGGCTCTCGTGCCTTTGTCCGCGATACCTCCGCGGACAAGCTCTCGTCCCGCTCTATTCCCTGACGCACCTGGCTGGCAGTTTTACCACCCCACCTCGCGTTGGGTTCTGCCCTCTCAGGACATCACGTTTGACGAGTCGGTTCCTTTCTACCGTCTCTTCCCCTACCGGACTGCCCCTCTCCCACCCCCGCCGCTCTTCCTCGCTCCAGGTCCCCCTGCTCCTTCAAGTGTGTCTTAGGTATACCCACTTCCCCTAGGTGAGCCTGTCGAGGTCACTGGTGTCTCAGGTGCTGCTGGGGGTGGTGCTGCTCGGGGTGCTGCGTCTGGGGGTGCTGAGCCTGAGGGTGCGGAGCTTGGGGGTGCTGAGCCTGAGGGTGCGGAGCCTAGGGGTGCTGAGCCTGGGGGTGCTGCGCCTGGGGGTGCTGAGCCTGAGCGTGCGGAGCCTAGGGGTGCTGAGCCTGGGGGTGCTGCTTCTGGGGGTGCTGAGCCTGGGGGTACGGAGCCTGAGCGTGCACAGCCTGGGAGTGCTGAGCCTGGGGGTGCTGAGCCTGAGCGTGCGGAGCCTAGGGGTGCTGCACCTGGATGTGCTGCGGGTGAGGGTGCTGAGCCTGGGGGTGCTGCGTCTGCTGGTGGTCCTCTGGGTGCCTCGCCGCACCGATCTAGCCAGCGAGAGCCTCTCTCGCCACAGCAGCTGCGCGATTGGTCTGCTCGGCGCACCTGCCTTAGGAGTCGCACTGCTGGAGGTGGAGGCACTTGAGCTGGAGGCACTAGCGCTGGAGGCGCTGGAGCTGGAGGTGCTGGAGCTGGAGGCGCTGGCACTGGAGACATTGGCGGTGGAGACGCTGGAGCTGCAGGAGCGGGAGCTGGAGGTGCTGGCGCTGGAGGTGCTGGAGCTGGAGGCGCTGGAGCTAGACTGAGGCCCTGCCACTTGGGGTG